AGCTTTACATTCTAGACGCACCAAATTGTCAAGAGGCACCCATACCTGGGGTAGGGAGGGCTGCACCCCACTCGGACACTTCAGTCACGTATGCTGGCAGGGGGCTGATGATGGACAGGAGAAAGGAGCTGTAGCCAAGGACAGACGGAATAATGCCACTTGCTACACAGCATCAAGGACCATTGTACAGAAAGATTCTCTCCATCTAAGATTTCCTCTTTAGACTCCACACAGGAAGCTGCAAGAACCTCTCATTTCCTAGTGAAGAAAGGGCTCGGGTAATCCTGCCAGGATTCAAACTTAAGCTTGCCAGGAGTCTAAGGTAGGAGTAGCAAAGATCTGGCCCACAAGGCCTAAACCTTTAAAGACTGGAAGCAAGAACTTGAAACAGGAGTCATATCACCCAGCTTGCAGTGCTTTCAGCAGGTCTTGGACCAACTGGCCCATGTGGTGCACAAGACCAGGTCCAGAGCTGGTGTACATGTAGGACTGGTCCAGGGTACACACTGCACGTGGCCTGATGAGTTTAATTTAAACATTAGGTCAGAAACCTTTAGACCAGGTATCACTGTTCATCCCCTGGGGCTACAGAAGGGGCTACTAAGAAAATGGAGTGGGAGCAGCTTCTCTTTGCTTCACTTGCCAACAAATGGAATGAAGCCTTGCAAACTGCAGTGGGTCAAAACATATGCATTTCTGGTCTCACTGTCTACAATGCTGCCAGTGTTGCTGCCATCGTCCGTGCTGCCGGAAAGCAAGCAGGGCTCTAGCGCTATTGCGGCATAGCCGAAACCTTCGCAGTCTGGAAACCAGAACTTGGAACAACTCCAGATCCCCATTAAGTAATTACATGTCTTACCATTATGATGATAACATATGGGCTATTTAACCCAATGAAAGGACCCTTCTTATTTGCTATGCTCAGCTTTGTCCTCTATTCAGCAACCATTCTCCTAACACAGAATACCCCCCCCTCCCAAGGAAGTTTTTTTTTTTTTTAATTGAATTTTTTACTACTTCATATAAAACTCCAAAAGACCCATCAGCTGCAATAAATGGCTCTGCCTCAGACAGAACACCCAGGCTTCAATATAATCTCCACATTTCTGCCATTCACAAACCACTTAAAAGCCACACCCCAGCCATTTGAGACAAAAAAGCCAAAGCTTTCCGCTTACTGGCACCTTTCCACCTAGTCAGAAACCATGACACTCCCATGCTGATGATTTCACTATGGCAGCTTTTGCCTGGCATGAGCTATTAGCAGCATTTGTCTCTGCTATGCCAATATCTGGAGGCAATTATCTTGTCTGCTGGTACTGGACGCCTCAGTGTTGGGTACACATTCTCACTTGTCTCATCAGCAGCACCTGTTAGCTTCAGAGTTTGTTGCAGTTTTGCTTGCTAACATTGCTGGAGCTCAGGGGCTGCCAGCTCCATTGCTTGAAACCTTATTTGCAGAAGTTTCAAATAGGGCTGAAGCTCCAGAGAGCAACATTCAAGCAAGCAATGTTTTCTCTCCTTGCTCTTGTGCAAAAGCAGGACTGGAGCCTGTATTTCTCTCACATGTTTCTTGCGCACCTATCCAGCTGGTTCCACCCCCCTGAATTTAAGATGAAATTTTTTTTCTCACTAAACAGTCCATAACTGGGAGGTATTTGAGCTTCAGTGACATGCGGTCTCATTAGCTTGTGGGTAAGCTCAGATCTGCTGCATCCTCTACACTTTGCTAAACAACCTCATCCTCACCTAGAACCAGGGCTGGAAAGGCCTTCATGAAGTCTAGTCCAACGCCCTGCTCGAGGCAGGATCATCCCTGTTTAAACCAGTCTAGACAAGTGCTTGTCTGATCCCATTCTGAAAACCTTTGGATACAAACCCTCACACACAACTACCTGGCGCAATGCTCAAAACACTAAAAATGCCCTTTAATTGCCACAATAAAGCAGAGGGACAAGAGCACAGTCAAAGACAAGTAGTAGTTAGTAAAATGCATGCAAGAGAGAAAAGGAATGGGAATGTGTACCCTACTATAGAGGAAGACGAAAACCCCATGCCAGTCTGCCACAAGGTAAAACCCCTTCCTGATCCCAGATGTGGCAAATCAGTGCAACCTTGTGGGGAGCAGCAAGGCCTCTAGGTTTTAGAAGTTAAAACAGGAGCAGCAGTACCCAACTGGATCTCCAAAGGCTGAAGATATGTCCAAAGCAAGTTTGCCTGCTTGTACATTTAATTTGACTCATTTAATGGCAATGCTGTTTAAGATGCTAGCATTCAAGCATTTCTAAATGGAGGACAGCAGCCACCTTGAGACTTCATGGCCGAACACAGTTAGCATGAGAAGTTTAGATGAATACCTGGTACAGGATTGCATGTTCTTTTCAAAGAAGCCAAAGAACAGACTTCCCACTTGTATTAAAAATGAGCTGACTTGCATGAGATAAGAAAGTTTTACTAAGGTTGACAGCACCAGGGTGAATTCACTAGGTCTCTGCAAAGGTTTCCACTTTGATATTAATTTAATTGCCTTATTAAGAGTAACTTCAGATTCTTCTGGGAACCCTTACCAGGAAAGGAGAATAGCTTCTTTGGACTGAGACTATTGAGACACGTTGTTTACCTGGCTGCACCAGTAATGAGTCTGCCGCCTTGTTTTTGCAATAGTGACTCCTGTTGAAGACATGCTCTCTTCCGCCACTCCAAATGCTCCATCACTAACTGTTAGTGGTGTTGTTCTTGCAGTGATCATGGCAACACTAATTACTGCTCCACACATTATCACTAATTATTATTAATATCCTTATTAAACAGCAATGGGATAAAAGCTGTTTGCAGGCTCATCTGGATGCTGCAAGAGACTGTTTAAAGCAACATTTCAGTCAGATAATTTTTCCACCTCCCCCACAAGTCAGATCTACTTGGTTTTGTATGGAATAGCAAACCATGACTCCTGCCAGCTTTGAGAAGCGGATGGGAAAGCACCGAGGCAGTCAGTGCACATTGAGCACTGTAATAACTGCAAACCAGCACAATGAATTCTACTGCCTCAAGTAGCATCAGCACAATCACCTGTCCAGAGCATTTATCGTCAAGAACAGAGGAAGCAGAAAAAGCCCAGATTTATTTCCTACTAAAAGGATTAAAGGGCGATTAAGAAAAATGTATTTCAGCTAAAGGAGAAGGAACATGAATCCCAGAATCCTTTACTACAGTCTCTTTTTTGTCATAAGCCTACTTTATGATGCTTAATATTAATCAAGTGTTACTTTACCCCCAATACTGTATTGTGTTGCAACTGCAAATTATGGTCTGAAAATGCATTGCAGGAAGAACTGGAGGGGACAGGAGGGAAGAGGAGGGAGATGTTTTCAAATGACATTTTCAACTAGAGTAGTAGCTAGGCAGATAAATATAGGAAGGTCCTAAAGGCAAAAGCTACAGCAGAGAAGGTTTTCTCCACTAAGAATGATAAGCCCACAAGGAGGGAGAGTGCAGACATCAGTACCAGAGGTGCAGATGAAAGGACTGCAGAGAGAAATGCAGGCACATATCCAGAGCAAGTCCACATTTGATTTTAAAAACCTACCCTTTTCAATTAGGGCTTTTGCTATTAAACACCTTAAGCCCTCATTCTACAGCAATTACATGCAAGTCAGCCCACTGATGCCAGACTGTTCTCTTGCGCAAAGCTTGAAGGACAGGGTTCTTATTTGAGAACAAAGGTCGTCAGAATAAGAAGCCTGTACAGTTAATAGGCCACTGCAGACTGACACTGTGATGCACCACCAGAGAAGACAGTGTCCTTCCTGCAACACCGAGTGTTCTGAAAGAAATTCAGTCGCACCATTTACAAACAGACCATTCAACCAGAAGACTGGAGACATCTGAAGGAGATCTTCCATGCGCCAGAATAAAAACATTTGTTGAAACTCTGGCATATACTATCTCAGAGACTCCCAAACAGAGAGGCTCACAACATTTGTGCATACTTCTGTGCACAAGTTACCTATGCTGCTTATGGAAGAGGGGGGCAGGGGGTTCCGCCCGCTGATATGGTAGATGCCATTTCAAACCATGGCACTGGGAGAATCACAATCTCAATGCAGCCTAAAAACCTAACCTTGTTTTGTGTATATTTCAGAATCTAGGTTCTCCCCTGAAACGCAGCCACACATCACGCAAGCAGGCTAAAAGCTTTATTCTCTTCCAGCTCGATCATAAATGTAGGGTTCATTCTTGCAGTTGCGACAGCTGAGTGCGCCCTCCTCGCTCTGACTCCTCTGAGAAGCGCAGCGGTTGGTTCCGTCTTGGTGTAATGACAGATGCCGCCAACCCCTCTATAATTATTGTTGCTGCTGTCACAGCTGGTGCGTCTGGCCTTAGCGCTGGGACAGGCCTGTTATTACACTCGCTGTGTTATTCTCAACATGAGAAGAACGGGTGCGATTAGTGCTTGTCCCCCAAGCTTCCTTGCTTACCGCCAACAACGCAGATGGAGCGGTCATGAGCCGTGGACACCCCAGCCATCCACGGAGCGACAGCTCCAGCACAGGGGTACAATGTCTACCACTGTGAAGAGGCAACCCCGACCAACCGCCCACACACAGGCAACAGGCGAGAAGGCCCCACAGCAACATCCACCACCTCCCCCCTTTGCCTCCTACCCCTCAGTCCCGCCCGGCCCCACGGGCAGGGAGCAAGTGCATGACCCCCGGGGAGACTGGAGCTGCCTGACCCCTGACCTCCAAGGTCAAGGGTCAGCCCTCTCCCCAGGCCATGGCCTCGCACCTGCCCCAGCCCAGCACGCGGCTCCACCCCCCCATGACCCCTGACCTCAGCCCAGCCCAAAACGAGGCCCTGCCACCCCATGAGACCCCTGCCCCCACATAACCCCAGCCCAACCCAAAACGAGGCCCTGCCCCCCCCCACGTGCTCCCTGCCCCCGCATGACCTTTGCGCGTTGACCTCAGCCCCGCCCCTGCGTGCCCTTTGCCCCCGACCTGGATGCGCTGCAGATAGGAGGCGGGCACGTAGCCCGTCTCGCCGGAGCCCGCGCGCGTCACGAGCCACCAGTGCTGGTTGCTGCGCTCGAGCAGCAGGAAGGTCTCGCCGGCGGCGAATGGCAGAGAGTTGGGCTCGGCCGAGCGGAAACCGTACAGCGCGCGGTACATGGCGATGGCTGCGGCAGCAGCAG